TACTTAGGATACTGACTACCATGTCAGTAAAATGAAACTCAACATTTCTTGTAATGAACATAATATGGCTTTTTATTCAGTGTGCTGAAAGTTGACGAAAAATCTTTTTACTTTGACCGATTGGCTTGCAAGGACCCCTTCTTGGTCAATTTAGACAAATATCTTCGTTAATTGGGATTAAGTCTTCAAAAGTTGATAGAATACAGCATGTCACGAAAGACTACGTACTGAAAACTCCTGAACGGGTATAAAAGATAGACACATAAAAGACAAAAACCCCAGCCGTAACTTGAATTGCGAATTTAAAAAGCGCATGGAATCACGGAAAAACGAAGTGATTTCCAGTTCGTATCCTATCAGAAAACCAACTCGCCTCCCTTCTTATTTCGCTTCCTTTGTATTAGGTACATAATTTTACAGGCCACTTTAAGAAAGCAAAGAGGACTGCCATGTTGTACAAGGGAAAGGGCGGGGTGGGGCGGCGGTGATCGGAATGGAACACACGACCAATCTTCTGTGTGGATGTGACAGTGAACAACACCGCTTGAGCATCGATGAAAAGCTGATTAAACCATTTGTATCTGTTTTGGAGGATGGGCTATGAGAGCGATCGTGTTAAGCTGTGCATGTCTCAGCTGCGCCAGTTTGGGTTTCTACATCACGACTTACCATGCAAGAGTAAGGCGAGGATTGGAATGTTCAGATCAGTGTAAGAGTCGACATCCGGGTTGGTGGACCACTGGTAGTTCACCTAGGACAGTTGGCCAAAAACCCTGATTTCAAACCAACCATGAGGAGGCGTACGAACCACCCACACAAACCTTCCGGTTGTGGCAGTGGTCACTGGTTCGACGGAACATCGAGGTATATAGAGCACCTTGGACATTTGACCCCGTCCAAAGGGCGTATGATCCGATGAACTGGATTGTGATTGTCACACACCGCCCCACTGCCATGCGGGTTAGGCTTTGGCTAGCCGAAGGCTCCGGTTGTGAATTCACCAAGAAAATTCACCTAACCTGGCAGTATACAGGCCACATGCAAATCATGGAATGTTTTTTTTATAAAGATTATTGTACCATGATTTGTTTGGCACACAATCTGGCGTCAGACGTGTGGGAAATATATAAATAGACATATCAGTGTAAGAGTGAAAACAGAGAATTCAGGAAGGCTACGGTTGTGCGAACAATGAGTAGATGCACGAGCGCAAATGTTTACGACACCGAGCCATATCACTCAGTGTACGCAACACCATGCCGTGCCTCCTCATATTTAGGATACTGAGAAGGAAATAGGACGACCCGTCTATCTCATAAGATGATGGATGAAGTTTACTTATGGTGAGAATGTGTCTCCAGTGAATGTTTTGGTTTATTCCGTTTATTATCAACCGACCCCACTGGTAAACCAAATTAAACGCACTGACTTGATTGCGCGTGACTTCTGCGAAGGATGACATTATACTATTATGATTAGTAAAAGTTAAATGGTAAAAAAGTTATTCATAAAAGTTTTAGTTGTTGCATGTGTATTGGAAATTGTTAGCAGTGGAATCTACCGAGAACGCAGTTAGGGACCCAATGTGCAAGGTTGCGAGTTCGACATGTTACCAAGGTACTATCCCAATTGGCTCTAACAGCGCTATGTTTGGTCAATCACCTCTCGCATTGGATGTAGCATCAAACTAATCAACGAGCGACTTCTCGCTAGATGTCTCCGCGAAGCAAAGAGTATGCTGCTGGAAGCATTCGCAAATTTAGGGTATTGAAATAAACCGGAAGCTGTTTGTCGGAAAGCCTCGGTAGCACTCATTATGATACTCACATTAAGTAGGACCCCATTCTACGAGGGAGAGAGAGGCATTGCAGAGGATGCCCGACAGCTTTCATAACGTACAGTGCTTTCAATGCATTTAGTCGATGCGCAAAATGTTGATATTGCATTTCCGCCTCCACGGAGCACTGCGCACTCATTGCCCCAGATAGTAATCAAATATTGAATGAATCACGCTCTCACCTTGTTTTTCTTAGCCCGTCCCAAGGGGTCATGATCAGAACCACTAGACGATGACTCACAACGGATTGTGATTTTCACACACCGCCCTGTTGTCTTTGGCCAGACAAAGGTTCTTAGTGTGAATCCCGCGTTCATTGACCGACTAGATCTGGCAGTTCTCCGCCCACGAGCTAATCGTGAACTGATTTCTTCGACTTAAACTTTTTTTGCACCAAGGATTGATTGGCACACAATCTGAACTTAGACAAGTGTGAAATATGATATTTATTATGTGGTCAGTGTTCAACCACCTTAGCCTGAGATCAACTTGATGCGAATCTAAAATTGACCACCCACTTTGTCTGTCTTTTAAATCAATTTGTTGCGGTCTGCTCTCTCTCACTCCGATTCATTCTAATGGCCGGAAACGAGAAAATCAGGCACAGGCGTACGTAGGCAGAACACAATTTGACCGACCAAAGGCATCGCACCCATGCGAATAAACAAATTTATGGTTAACAAACATTTCACCGCCTGCAAAATGGTTTGCAAAAAGATTGCGCATTTCATTCCTGTGGTTCTGACACGGTATAACGTGAATTGTTCAGTTGAGAAAAACTTGGCCAATGTTTTGCGGTTCGTCCACTTATGTTATGCAGTACGTAGGCCCACCAAAAAATGCGCTATCACACGAGTTTTGAACTGATAAGTTATAACGTGCAACACTGAAAACTGCCTTGTACAAATAGGAGAATAAAGAAACTGTCAACTAAACCAAACAGATTGGACATCCAAATGGGGTATCCATGTTGGGAATATTTATTGAAATACTGAGTGTGATCCCAGTCATTACGTAAGCGCCCCTCCCCCGCTCAACATGTGGCTAGCATTTGGTAACCATTCCTGACTATTTTAGCCGCAGTTCCACGTGTCTGATTAATGTATCTATCGATCTGATAACCATTTTTGCTGAGTTTTAGTTCCGGTTACGCTGATAACTGGAGACCGACAGTTGAGCGAAATATATGTTGAAAAAATATACTGATCCGAAACGGTAGGGTAGAAACAGACTATTGAGCAAAGTTTGGAAAATCGTTCGATGTACAAAAAACAAATCAAAATATTATGCAACTGTCCACTACTCCTTTCACAACTAACTCTCGCACCATCATGCGCAATTTCAGAAGAAGGCAATCGAAGCATTACATATTCTATTCGAAGTATGACAGTGGAGAGTATGCAGCCAAAACGATTTCGGAGAGGATTCAGAGGCGAGCACGGATGCTTAATCGGGAGTCACTTGTGAACAGAAATACTAAAATGAATGACGATTGAGAAATGAGGCTAATCATGCCGGACAAAAGGATGCTGACACTTTCAGAAAATTGGAACAGCAAACCACATACGGCGGCTGATTTATTGCCAAAAGCCATATATCAATCGGAAGGTTATCTTGAAAAACATCCTACATGCATAATGTGATACCCGATCTATAGAAAGCAAAAATAGAATCAGCATACAGACGTGCCACAAAATTTTCATGGAAACTGTTATTGTTTTTCTATACCGACAGCTCCACAGATAAGGAAGGATGTGGGATATCGCTATAGCGTGAGATACAAATTGCACCACAATATATACAAATTAACCGATCGAACTATGACTCATGGATCACGAGGTAAGTGCATACATATATGTATACAAACAGGTATAGATGCACTGCACACGTACATGCATACATACATGGAGGAAAAGACAATTGGTGGGGCGTTTAAATTTCGCCGCACCATCTTGTTAGATTATTGATACATGGCCGTTGTCCTCGCTAATGGACTTATACAACAACTCTCCTGTTTTATTAATATTTCCATATTGTGTGATTTCATTATGCAGCCATGAAAACTCCAGTTCGTCCCGAAAGTCGTTGAATTTGGAAAACCCGTGACAAGCAAATATGAAAGGATTCACAAACAATTTTGGGGTTATTAGAAGCAGCAGTATTGAGATGGTCGGAGTTCCACTGCGTCGAACGAATTTGCCACAACTCTGTACGCCGTCATTATAAGCAAAAACGTCCGTTCGTGATCATACACGTTTTACGTTATGCAATGAGAGAATGTCCGAAATAAGATACTAATCTTCCATAATAGATCTAATTACATGAAGATATCGAAACCGGGATCACTAAAATCGCCGACTTAACTAGCGAGTCGATCGGCCCATTCTGCACCGAAAGTGTGGAGGTGGTCCAGTGACTTATATTAATAACACCTGATGCAAGAATATGAAGCAAACGTTTGCTTACTTTCCTGGTTGCTTTCGTGCCTCCGTTCGTCAGACGGACTTTGGTGTGTTCCATCATCCTAATTCTTCCGTCCTCTCTGAACACCTACCACGAAATCTCAACTTTTGCTACGGCATATTCTGCCGTGATATTCGCAGCCATCATGTCTGAACTGCACATCGGATACAGATAAATCAAAGGATTGAAACGGTTGAGAAAGGCAAAGGTATTCACAGGCTAAAACTCATTATTTGCTATCGAGCTACATACACTAAGCAAAAGGTATACTCGCAGAATCCGGCACAATGATACTTGGAGGGAAATATGTAAAACTATCAAGGAATTTAGTTAGAGACCGATCGTGGATAGTATCTTAGACAATATTATTCGTCGAACATTGAAATGGAAAATGTATTTCTCGCGTATTTTTACAAATGAGAACGAACTCCTGGGGAGGAGGCGGGGCAAAATGGAGTTCATAATGTTTTTTATGCAGGTAAAATGAAGTTTCTCAAGTGGAACGATTGCAGTTGCACAGTATCGTGTTTTATATATACAAATACAATGACTACGTCACTGACTGCCTAGCGATAATCGAATAAGATGAAACAAAGTGGCCTAATTTGAAGGCCCCGATACAAAAAACATCGCAAATATAAGGAAAGACAACGTCAGATGAAATCACAAGTGATCCTGACGAGAGTCAAACGAGACTCACTTTCAACCATCCAATATAGAAGAAGAATCGCAGTAGTCCGAATATCGGGACATACATATCGATGTCATAACCGGGGTAACCTTTGCTTGGATCCAAATACTGCCACGCAAACAGGCATGCCAGGAAGTAGGAATAGACAACAATTGTTGCCATCTGAGTGCATAGAGAGACAGAGACAGTAAGAATAAAATATATCGTGAATAAAATCAAACGAAAGTAAGTTATCCAGAAGACAGAAAAACTGATTTCGATGTGGTGGCATGACTACCTTCTCCTTGTTTGGCTTGAATGAAAAGACAACTCATACGATGCACCGAAAAACACGGTACACTATGATCATAATAAGAGATACAAAGTTAGACTATTTATTCAGTTAGGAATGTTAAACACTACCGATGATCAAATCAAATTTCACCATCTCCACCTTCACATGCGGTAGTTATTCGAACCCAAAACACTATCAAAGGTGGATGGTGGTGGCCCGGTGGTAACGTCACCAGATTCTCACCCCGAGGATGTGTGTTCGAATCCCACTACCACCGCCTGACTTTCCCCATTTGTGTGTTGCATGGCATCCCTATGATTGGCAGTTTCCCTCTCCCTGAAAAAGTTGTATATTTGTATATTCAATGAAAGGAATAAAAAAGAGATGAAGAAAAGACAGCTACTACTAGTTTTATGAAGTCCTAAATCAGTGGCGCATTTAAGATACTAACCGGAAAATGCAAGGTTTATGAAGGAGGAAATTATGAGATAAATAATGAAAATCTTCCATAACGGGGTTTCGCATCGGTATTCATGCACCGAATGGACAACAATTTGAAAAAATGTGAACTGCGCGGAAAACTTTCAACTTTGTTTGGCCTTGGATTGAAACAGAGCACGCCCACTGAAGGACATTGTAGCAATGAATGTGGATGATGCGGATTCCCGGGTTAATTGCCTGGTTTATTCAATGAGAACCATAAACCACTCTCTGGGTTCTTTGATTTCTTTTAGAATGCAACCGTATCCTCGGCAAGCACACGGCACAGCAAGTCATCGCTGAATAATGTAAGCTTGTGTAACATGTGATTAGATTGTTCTATCTTGTTCTGATTCCCCCAAGCCATACTGATCCTAGGTAACGCTTAACAATCATTGTCAATCCGTCCTAACTAAAATACATAGAAGCAAACACTTAGACTCATTCCGTTAGTACTTATTTGACTTCAGTTTCTGCAACTCCGGGTTGCATATCCTTCTCATGACTCGAATTTTATCACTGTGTACGGGGAACTGGAACCCTCGTTTGTAACCTACACAGTCCACGGTGAACATTTTTGGGGCATGCATACAAATATAAATGTTCTTGGGTTATTCTATGCGAATTTATAGGTATTACAGTTTGAATATCATTGTTCGTTGGATAAAAATATTGGCCTGGTCTATCGTTCGTATCACGGAATGCTTAGTGTCACCAGATGCTAAAATTCTCGCACGACGTTCATCTTAGAGGAAATCCAATCAAACTAACGGTATCAAAAGGCCAATTGGATTGTCGACGTCGGCCAACTGGCAGTCAGTTTATTCGATCTGGAACTCTCTCCCAACCCACGTCGTCTGTACGCCAAGCACTGAATCCTTCAAACTGAGACTTGATGAAGCATTAGCGCACCTTAAATCCAAACATAAGAGAAGTTACGTGCAGCAGTGGAAGAATTATGTATCATGCGACACTTTACACAAGGAATTGTGTTAATCACAATCTTTTAACCGCAACACGAACCTATGAGACGAGAAAAGCATGAGCTTGTAAGTTATTCCCAAAATAAAACTTTGAAATTTAGTTGTTTCGTTAGACACTTAATATTTGGTTATAACTACATCTCGAAATTTTTCATTTTGGTTTGCAGAAAAAGTAAACCGTTTTTATGTATCACGTGTTATACTGCAAACTAGTGCCTGATTTGTTCTCACTCCTAATTCGGGCAGGGCAAATTGAACGGATAAGATTAACTCATTGAAGAACAGGAGAAAATGCGCGTTCACTTGATCCCGATGCTCAGTGTGTGACGGTTACATTGCGAACTGATTCATAAGGTCACCTGACTCTGGAAGTTCGATCCCAGATCAAAGTCAGTTTTATTATGGGACATACAAGCGTTTGGTTTGTTTGTCCCATTGGGGTTCTCGTTCAAGCGGATCGATTGACCAATCGAAGATAGGTGAGGAGTATCACAACGTTTCATTGTTTCACGTACTACTACAGAAGTTGAAATTTAAAACATGATAATGATTCCTAGGGTTTGTGCTTGAATTAATCAATTGTAGGCGCAGGTACAATGTGAGGTGGTAAGGAACTTCAATTACTATATACTCGGACGGCAAATCAATGACGTCGGCATTTGAGTTCATAGTTTTAGAGCACTATCTTGGGTGAATTCCCCCTCAAGTGAATGTTGGGCGACAAAATGAACAGTGGAAAACATTTATGGTCGGGGTTCCACGTCATTCAATACATCAAAATCAAGTCCACTCAAATCCGATAATGCCAGAAGGACTGTAACTGCAATGATTGCAGTCTGTTCACATTGGTTTGGAATGCAGTCCCTTGACAATCTTGGTGACCATTCTTCATGAACGTTTCAAAGTCCTACGACTACGTTGCTGCCATAGATTCCACGCTTGAATGACGTGCTCTATGTTGGGCCGCATGCAGACTGATAACAAAGGCGGCATAGAGTCAAATTTGTCAACGACTCGTTTTAGCAAATCATTATGCCCCACAGCTGCAGACGACCCCTAGAGCAGTTTAAAGAAAAACCTAAATCGTCTTGAACGATGACACTGAGAGTCTTCCCATTCGCGGCATATGAAAGTTGTTGACATCTCAGGAGTTACGGAAATTAGGGTTTATGGAGAACAAATAAGACCGTATATTTAGATGCATTCAATTCGGTGTCATTTTCGATCGACTATCGATGAACTGCGATAACCGTTCTCCGACAGTCTGTGAATCTTCCGCTTTTCGACACCGTATCGCATGATTTTGCATCATCAGCAAAAATTAACATTCGTGGCCCCAGAACGTCCGTTAGAGAAAAAGAAAAAGTTAAGGGCCAAACATGGATCCATGTCGAAAGCTTCGGGTCAAGTCGATAGGAGTATATCATAATCCAGGAACCCGAACTGACAAGGTGCGTCGTCGAAGAAATTCTTCTATCTAGCCCAGTAAAAATCCCTGAACTCCGTAAATGTGTAGTTTCCTCAGCAGTATTTTGTGGTTCACACGATCCAATGCCCTGGAAGAGAAGGAAGTACACTACGTTAACTGCATCACCATGGTCAGTTGTTTTTATCCGTTCACCTCGGCCCAGAAGGAAGTGAGCGGGACACGATCGCTTGCAACGAAACCCAAGTTCCAATCGGATAATACATTGTATTTTCCCGGTAAAACATCACACTGTCTGCAACAGAGGATTCCATGAATTCATACAACGTGGGGTAGGGGAGAGGATGACAGTGTGGTAGCGAACCGGGTCACTACGACAGCCGCTTTTGGAAAGCGATGCAATTATCCGTTTTTTCCACCTCTGTGAAAGCACACACAGGATTACCAAACATATTTTGGAACAGATCACGTAATGGCTGTGTTACTTGCCAGGTTGTTTGTGGATGGATGTTATCTGTCCCTGGAAATGCATCTCCTTCCAAAAGCAACACATGTGATCTATGTGGAAAATCAATTATGGTTAGTTTTGAGCGTGGGATGTCCTTCAATGGTAAGATACTCGTAACCCGGTGTTGGCAGGTGCAGTGAATTCTTAAGCATATTGAATTTAACATTTCAGCTGCTTCTTTTGCTGTGACTGAACACCACCTACCGAACTTAGCCCTGGAACGACAGAATTGAATTTCCGGGAGGTATTCGTATGTATATACAACAACTTTGCATTGGATATAAACTTGTGCGTCAGCATTTCTTTGGGGTGACGCACTGGTTTAGTCGCTGTCAAGGGGGTGCTTTGGACTCTACGGTCCGGGGTTCGAACCCCGCCATCGCCATCTAACGTTGGTGATAGACAGCTTGTTGTTGCCCGGTTCAATACCGCGCCATAACTAACTAGGCCTTATGTGCCTTGTCCTGGGATTTAGGTTGTCGGTTTGAAGCATCGAACAGCGAGTTTTGGCGACCACGGTATTTAACCTGTTTTCTGTTAAGCACATGACATGTGCAATAAAGGAAACATCAATTTTTTTCCGGTGCCAACTTGATGCACAGGTTTCACGGTGGACAGTGGGCATACAATGTGTTGTAACATGCAAATCCTTTCTAACGTCTCCACAAGGTGCTCCAAAAGCCTCAATATGGTCGGAGGTGAGTTTCGGGTTGCGGCCGGCCGCCCATCTCTAGCACCCCAGTAAATGCTACCATATCACCAAGCGTCTCAAACATCCTCTGGCGAGGAAGCCCTAATCACTACCTTTCCGTGGCGACAGTGTTTTCCCACCGAAGTGCGAAAACAAAAAGCCAATATCCGGGGTTACAACCGGGTGAACCACTGGCAGTTCACCTAAGGCAGTTGGCTAAATCCCTGATTCCAAACCAAAAAAGAAGCGTAGGAACCACGCGCACACCCTCCTGATCGTGGTCAATGGTTCAGTTGGGTATCGAGGTGTATGGGGTACCTTGGACGTTTGACCCCGTCCAAAGGGCGTGCAATCCGATGAACTGGACTCCACCCGAATGCCTTGCGGATCAGGCTTTGGAAAGCCGAAGGCGCCGGTTGTGAATTCCCTAAGAAGATTCACCTGCTTTGTCCTGGGCAGCCTGGCAGTATTCTGCCCACGAGAAAATAATGAGCCCTTTTAATTTTTATGGAGGTCATTGTACCGTTACTTGTTTGGTACACAGTTTGAAATCAGACGTGTGTGAATATATATAACGTTCAAATGCAAAATGCAACTTTTTGTTCCATTACGAATCACTAAATTTTGGCCAGCTGGGTAGGTAACGAGTTTGATCTTCGTCACGCCCTTCACAATTTCCGCGGGGTGATGAATAAATTCTTTTCAGGATGCTAGGGTCTCAGACTGTTCGTTTAAGAAAATTCATTGGAAGTCTCGCGCTAAAATCTTGCGCTTGTTGTAACCGATAAATGTTCAAGAGA